GCCACCTTTGCTCGGCGCCTGTTGGAACTTGGGCCCAAGCCAGAGGTGGCTCAACAGGTAGATGGGAGCTCCTTCCTCAGACATAAAGGGACCAGACCGGCTCTCACATGGAGGGAGTAGAAGCCAAGGCCTTTGCCTCTAAAACAAAGCACTGAATAACAACATTCAACAGAAGGAGGCAACCGAATGCCGTCTTCTCTTTACTTAGTGGCAAGGGTGCCTCCTTTTGTTCTTAGAAGGCGAACTCGTAACTCCTTCAGACAAGGCACAGGTGTAGAGTGACCTGCCACCTAGAAGAGCTCCGCCCTCCCGTCCCTGAGCTCTGCTACCCGTTCCCACCGCTGCTAACCTCCGCACACAGGTCCCGTTACTTGGGGTCTCTGAAGGCATTCCTCCTGGGCGGTGGAAGCCAATTTTAACCCTTTGAGTCCTGGCTCTGATCGTCTCCAGACTTGGTGGAGGACTGTGGGTCTAGGTCCGTGGAACCACTGATACTGAGAAGGGGAGATCCTGATGCAGCAGGGGTGGTGATTGTTGTGACCCCTTCACGTGTGTCCTGTACAAGAGGACATACTCGTTCACTCGGTACAACGGCATCGCAAGTCAAGGAAATTACTGAACCGTGGTGAGTTGTGACGTGCAGCTTTCCGTCCTCTTAAATAAAATACTCCTTCCCTCCCTTAGACCCGCAAAATTCTGTCCGCGTGTGAGAAGAACCCCACAGACGCCTGCCAGCTCAGCTACGACATGCACAACCCCTTTGACATCTGTGCTGCGTCTTACCGGCCCATCTACCGTGGGAAGCCAGTGGAGAAATGTCCACTCAGTGGGGCCTGCTATTCCCCTGAGTTCAAGGGTCAAGTCTGCAAGGTCACTACAGTAAGTACTGTCCTCTAGAAAGACATCCAGGATATGGAGGGAAGAGGAAAGAAAGAGAAAATAGAAGCGTGCTGGTTCTTTTTTTCTTCCGTTTTTGCCTCTAGCTCCTTGAGACAGTGATACTAAAGAAAACTAGAGCTTCTCCCCACTGCTGTTTACTGAGCAGTAACAGATCTTAACCACATACTCTGCTGTACTCACTGAGGAGTGGAGGGAGTAAGCTTTCTGGGCTGTGCACCCTCACAGATTCCCTAACTTTTCCCTGTTTCCTTTTCCACAGGTGACAGAGATTGGCAAAGATGTCATTGGTTTAAGGATCAGTCCTCTGCAGTTCCGCTGAGGCTCCCTCCGGTGCGTGCAGGGTCAAACACCGTATTTTCCTCTAGAGAACCAATCTCTATATCCTAACTTCTTTCTTCCTCAGCTGCCCTTCAAATTATTGACATTGAGCTGTCCTGCCCTAAAACTTAATGTCCCTTTTTCCTCTTCTATGGTTAATCAAAATGTCTAGACCTCTTTGTCGTCTTGTCAAGGTGACTACAGTTGTGGTGATCTCCTTCCCAGCTTAGATCGCTCAAGGAACAGATGAAAATTCCGTGATGAAACTTTGCCTACTGCATTCCTTCAATGTTTATCTTTTCCCTCCCCACCACCTTTGTATCTTTCTTTTGGATGGAAGCCGGATGTGATAAATAAGGCCGTAACTTTTACTCAGCCACAGCAAACTCTTAGCCATCCCCCCCCACGCCGTTTTCCTTGGGCATGTAAACTCCCAGGCAGGTACCCTGTGTGTACCCAGGAACTCAAAAGTCTGAGAAGAAACTGGTTTCCCAAGAATGCACATCACTTTTCATTGGTTTGTTCTTTATAGCCATTGTTCTTGTGTTTGTTTCTCACACTTAATAAAGTAAATTTCTATGACAGTTTTGTGGCTCCATTTGTTTCCTGGACACTCTCATGTTCCTATTTTATGTAGCTGCCCCACCAAAGCAGATGTCTTTTTTTTCTTCTTTTTTTTTTTTACTTAGAGTGAGACAGAGAATCTGAAGTAGGCTCCAGGTTCCACGTTGCCAGTGCAGAGCCCGACCCGGGGCTTGAACCCACAAACCGTGAGGTTGTGACCTGAGCCGAAGTTGGACGCTCAACGGACTGAGCCACCCAGGCACCCTGATATCTTTTTTTTAATTACAGAAGTAATAAACACCCACTGTCTTTTTAAAAAATACATTTTTTTCATAGGATACATTAAACTGTGAGAACATAGCAAGTAGCTCCCCTGTTCCGTTACTGACAGCAACCTTTCCCCTTTTGCTAATTATAGCCAGTACTTACTGAGCACCTACCGGGTACTTCTCGCTGTTCTAGACGTTTTACAGGTAATACACATATTACAGCGGTTACATTGTCAATACAGGGTTTTGCTTGTGTGCTAAGACTACATTGGGTAGATTGGCATGCTGTGTTTTTGATTACAGTTTGTACTTTTCATTTTAAACTCCGTTTCAGGGGCGCCTGGGTGGCTCAGTCGGTTAAGCATCCGACTTCAGCTCAGGTCGTGATCTCACGGTTTGTGGGTTCGAACCCCACGTTGGGCTGATAGCTCAGAGCCTGGAGCCTGCTTTGGACTCCGTGTCTCCCCCTCTCTCTGTCCCTTCCCCACTCTCACTCTGTTTCTCTCTCAAAAATAAACAAACATTTTTAAAATGCTGTAAAATAAGGTTTGGCAACAGCTTTCACTATACATTAGGCAGGAGGTGAATAAATATGTAAAGGAGGTGCTAGGAGTATCACACTAGTAAGGAAAGAAAAGCAGAAGCAAGTTTAAGAGATGATGCAAAGGACAAATCATGTTTCAACTCCATCGTAATTCTCTCCAGTTACCTGCAGTATTTTTCTTTCTTTTTTTTTTTTACCTCCATTATTTTTATTAACATGTTTATATTAACATAATAGTATAGGGGTGCCTGGGTGGCTCAGTCAGTTGAGCGTCCGACTTCAGCTCAGGTCATGATCTCATGGTCCATGAGTTCAAGCCCCGCGTCGGGCTCTGTGCTGACAGCTCAGAGCCTGGAGCCTGCTTCAGATTCTGTGTCTTCCTCTCTCTCTGACCCTCCCCCATTCATGCTCTGTCTCTCTCTGTCTCAAAAATAAACATTAAAAAAAACAACAAAAAAAATAACATAATAGTATAAAGCCAGGCGAAATACCTATAATATGTGCTTGATGTAACTATAGTCCTATTAGAGACATACATGTAAGTGGGTTGGAGTTAAATGAGAAAGCCTGGAACAACAGGTGTTGGGGAGAAAGCAGTTAATCAGAAGGATTAGGTTATAGAAGTTTAGAATTGAAAAGAACTTTAATCTGAGGCCTAGAGTGATAACGGGTTTTGAACAAAAGTACTTAGTTATGGGGGCGCCTGGGTGGCTCAGTCGGTTAAGCGGCCGACTTCAGCTCAGGTCATGATCGCGAGGTCCGGGAGTTCAAGCCCCGTGTCAGGCTCTGTGCTGACAGCTCAGAGCCTGGAGCCTGTTTCGGATTCTGTGTCTCCCTCTCTCTGACCCTCCCCCGTTCATTCTCTGTCTTTCTCCGTCTCAAAAATGAATAAATGTTAAAAAAAAAAAAAAAAGTACTTAGTTACGAAATTGGGACTGGGACTTAAGTCTTCTGACTTTCAGTTCAGAATGTTTTCTCCTCAGTCACCACTTGTGTCTGGAAGAACACAGTACGGTTTGCACAGGTATGATTTAAAAACCCTGTGCCCTATCTGTGCCGGAAAGAGTACCTAATCTGGTACTCGACACGGTACTCAAATGTGCGTTTAGGAAGCTAAGGACAGAAGCCATGAAGTGACTTCATTTAGTTTTGTTTTGTTTTTAATGTTTACTTTTGAGAGAAAACGTGAGTGGGGGAGGGGCAGAAAGAGGGGACTCTGCCGCTGACGGCAGGAGTCCCATGCGGGGGCTTGAACTCATGAACTGTGAGCCAAGCTGGGCCAAACTCAGACGCTCAAACGGCTGAGCCACCCCAGCGCCCCTAAGTGACTTCACTCAGATGTGATTTCTCCCTTTTAAGCTTTATAGCGCTTGACCCTTTTAAGACATTTGTCTTGTACCATCCTGTGTGTACCTCTCAGTCTCATCCCACCTCCACCCTAATCCTCAGGCAGCTCTTTTGCAGCAGGGGCTGGTCCCATCTGTGTCACTCTCCTGGGTTGTGCCCCGCACAGGATCCTGCACAACAGTGGATGCGCTCTAAATGCTAACACAGATTTGCGTGGGAGGCAGTTCTGACCCATCTGAAGAGGAGAACCATCCCAGAGGAGGGAAGGGGTGTCTGGAGTTGTCTTTTACCGAGCCTCCCCCCGCTTCCCTGGATTAGAGGTTGGGTTCTATATGGAGAAAAGGGGATGGTTCGGGGAAGGTAGGTCTATGGCTACCACGATGAATGGTCCTCTGGCTCAGTCCGAGGTTCCAGACTTGCTTTTTCTGCCTGAATGGCTCCAACGCACCCTGTGCTCTAACTAAGCTCCTAGTCCTGTGTCCTTCATTCTGGCAACCCTGACGGAGAATAGGAAATGAGAGACAGCCGCCGGATCCCGCGGAGAAGTGTGCCTCATCAGGGTCCGGGAGGGCTGCGAGTGGCCAGTGAGCGCCAGCGGGGTTGTAGGCCCTCGCCTAGGAGCTGAGCTTACAGCAGTGAAGACCACGGATGGCAGTCCTCGCCCGCTGGGTGTTCAAATTCCACGCAGTGCTTGGGGGGCCAGTGTAAACAAGGAAGTAAAATCAATAGAATGTCAGAGAGTGCTAAGTGTTGAGAAGCATATGATGAAAGAGCCTCTTCTCTGGATAACGCGAGAAGTTGAAATAAAGGAAGCCGGGCTAATCAGTAACCTGGTAGAATTTCACAGTGAGTTCCACTCCGTTAGTTCAACGGTTCCTGGCGAGAAAGAAAAAAAACAAAACCCAACCCACAGAGCTTCCTGTCCCTTTAAAAATGGCGGCTCCGGCCCGGCCTGCACTACTACTGGTTGCACGAGGACAAGGGGAGGGGCGAGGGGGCGGGGCCGAGGCACGGACGCCGCGAAGCCCCGCCTCCTACGGCAAGCCGGAGGTAGCAAGATGGCCGCCGCTGAGGAGGCTTGTGGTGCTGGGGCCGACGCGGACCGGGAATTGGAAGAGCTTCTGGAAAGTAAGAACTCGTAAAGGGGAAGGCCCGACGGTGGGCGGTTGTAAGGGCTCATTCCGGGGCAAACTGCGCCCGAGATATTGGGGGCGGAGCGGGAGAGGCTTTCCAAAGGTTGGCCAGGGGCAGAGGGTCTGCCTGTGACTCCGAAGAAAATCTCTGGGTCACCCTCTCCTTCCTCCGCGGCGGGAGCTCGGGAGCCCACGTTGGGCCCCAGAGCGTCTCAGACCGTCGATCTCCCTGCCGGAGGGGAAGCAGTAGCCCGCCGGACGGTGTTTCACGATCCGAACTCCCCTAGGTTTCGGTGAGCAAGTTCTTGTTAACCTAACTTCCTTCCCGCCAGCGGCAGTTTTCGGTCTTTGGTGGGCTGCGAACCGACCGCTCGCGTTGAGGGTCGACCAGCCCTTGGCGCGGCCTTCTGTGCGCTGCCCTCTCCCCCCTTTTTTCCTCTCGCCAAGCCTTTCACCTTTCCCTCCCCGGGCCCCATTCCAGTACTTTCACCGTGCCAGACAGCTCAAGCCGACTCCCTTCCATTACTCTGAAAAACTGAGGGGGAGAGGGCTTTAGGGGGAGACAGCTCACCCTCCTGAAAGAGGCTGGATGTTCGTTTCTTCCCCGCCCTCCGCTCTTCTGTTGGTTTCTTGCCCACAGTGGGGCCAGTGTCCTCCCGCTAAGCCCAGCAAGCGGATTGGTGGTGAGGACTCAGGTTTTTAGAGCAGAGGTGAATATGTTTTGTTTCTTGCCCAGTCACAGAGATGTGGGCAGGCAGAAGGATGAACAGAAACGGTGAGGAGTGCCAAGTGACTCTGTGGATTGGCACATAGTTATCTGCGGAGATGAGGCCAGAGGAAGCTCTAGGAACTTTGCCCAGGGAGGGCTGAACCCGGCGTTAGGAGAAGAGAGTTTACTGTCCCCCAGGGACTGTCGCGTGCTATCCCTCAGTTTGTGCGAGTACCAGGACCCACGGGAAGCGGGGTGGAACGTCTTGTGGCTTTTGCTTTCTTGCCAAAAATTACGCCCTCGAGGGCTCCAGAGTGAGTTCAGGAGTTTAAGGACACCTGTGTTCTCTGCTCTCATTGGATATTTGTGTGGGATTTCTGGGGAATCGGTAGAATGTGGCAAGGAAGTCGCTGCGTAGATGGAGATGTCTTTGCAGGGCTTTTAAGTCTCTCCTGCTATGAGAGAGACGCCTCTTCCACCTTTAGGGATTTCTTCCTCTTTGATCCCAATAAATTGGGTAATGAAGAGGGAAGTGGGCAGCTTATTGAGGGGTGGGCCAGGAGAGGGACACTTAAAAGGGAGATGACACTTTGAAAGACTGTCCTCTTAATGCTGTGCCCAGAACTTACCCCGCCCCCCCCACCAAGCCTTGAATCCTCATCCGTCCCCAACACACACACTATGTCTCTTGTCTCTGAAGGTGCTCTTGATGATTTCGATAAGGCCAAACCCTCCCCAGCACCCCCTCCTACCACCACGCCCCCTGATGCTTCGGGGCCCCAGAAGAGATCGCCAGGAGACACTGCCAAAGTATAAATTCCACCCTCTTAAGGGAGGGGTGGGGGGGTGTGGGCAAGCACCTGCAAGCAGAGGTGGGGCAGGCCCCTGTGGGCTGGAGTGGATTGGGGGGAGGGGGCCTGGCCTGACCTTGAGGATGGAGTGGCGGGATCTTGAGGAAGTGCTTCGAAGAGAAGGCAGATTTAAAAGGTTGGTTTGGGAATGCTACCCTATACCCTTCTCTCAGTGGCCCGGTGCCTTTCTTACTGTCCTCCTGAAAAGAGGTAGTTAGAATGTCCAGTGGAGGTGGGCAGGAGGGCAGCACTGCATTTCCCAGAGCCCCTGCCTGTGGCTTCTGTCGGTGGGGGCCAAGTAAGAGATGCATTTTGCCCCCCCCCCCCCCCTTCGCTGCAGGATGCCCTCTTCGCCTCCCAAGAGAAGTTTTTCCAAGAACTGTTTGACAGCGAGCTGGCTTCCCAAGCCACTGCAGAATTCGAGAAGGCCATGAAGGAGTTGGCTGAGGAAGAGCCCCATCTGGTGGAGCAGTTCCAAAAGCTCTCAGAGGCTGCCGGGAGAGTGGGTGAGGAGGCGGCCCTGGGGGGCTGGAGACCCCTGAACAGACCTCCACAGTGTTTGTTGCGCACAGAGAGCACTCTTAGTCAAGCTGACAGCACTCATCATATCACGGCCATCGGGTGGGACCAGGAGATGGGAGGAGGGACGGGGACACTGCGTCATGCGAGGGGGCGAGGCTGAAAAGTCAAAGAAAAGATTACTGAAAACTGACCATTTTAAAGGTCATAGTGTTGTGGGTGTCTTCGTGGAGAACAAAGTGACACCCGGTTCAAGTAGATCTGTGAAAGTGACTATGAAGGTGACCACGGAGGATTCAGAGGTTTGGAGTGCTAGTGACTCACCAGTAAATGCTGCGTATCCAAGCTGATAACCAGCGCAGTCTGGGGAAGCAGACGGTAAAAGTCCAAAAGACTTGGCCTTTCTCGATCTTCCCTAGGCAGTGATGCAACCTCCCAACAAGAATTTACATCTTGCCTGAAGGAGACACTAAGTGGACTCGCCAAAAATGCCACTGATCTTCAGGTGAGGGGAAGGGGCGGGGGCCACGAGAGCCTGTCAGACACATCAGCAAAAAGACAGACTCTCTTGGGTAGCATCTGAAGTCTGTCCCTGCCACACTCTTTTGCTGCTGGCAAGTTTAAATAGTTCTTTCCCACTTGAAAGGGTGCTAAGCATCCCAAGAAGGCACTGTCTTCAACTTACGATGGGGTTACATCCTGGCCAATCCATCATAAGTTGGAAATACCACAAGTTGAAAATGCATTTAATACACCTACCCTACCAAACATCACAGCTTAGCCGCACCTACCTTGAGTGTGTTTAGAATACTTACGTTAGCCTGTGGGTCTGCAAAATCACCCAACACCAAGCCTATTTCCTAGTAAAATGTTGAGTATCCCGTGTAATTTAGTGAATGCTGTACTGAAAGTAGAAAACAGAATGGCTACGTGGGGACAGAGTGGTTGTCAATGTCATCAGTTGTTGATCCTGGTGATCACGTGACTGCCTGGGGGCCACGGCCACCGTGGCATCTCGAGGGAGTATCATCTGCATATCGCCAGCCCCGGTCAAGGATCCAAATTGAAAATTTGAAGTAAAGTTTCTCCTGAATGTGCATCCTCTTCACACCATCTAAAACTGAAAAGTGGTCTTAAGTCAGACCATCTGTATTTGCTCACCTCTCTCCTGTCCTTTCTAGAACTCAGGCATGTCAGAGGAGGAACTGACCAAGGCCATGGAAGGGCTGGGCATGGAAGAAGGGGATGGGGAAGGGAACATCCTCCCCATCATGCAGAGTATCATGCAGAACCTACTGTCCAAGGACGTGTTGTACCCATCACTGAAGGAGATTACAGAAAAGGTTTGTGAACTTCTGTTTCTGCCTTTCCTCTTCATTTTCCACTGTGTCGACGACGCCTGTGGGCTACCTTGTCTGCCTCGAGCCTACAGAGCTGGAGTAACTCGAGTGCACAGTCTCTCTGCTCTTTTTTCCTTTGTTTATTTGGAACAGGAGAGTGGGGAGGAGCTGTGTCTTTGGGAATAAACGTACCACACTGAAGATGCTTAAGGCAGAAGGGGAGGCTCTTCAGCTCTGGTTTTCTGTAAACTGGTTCGAGGCTGTTGTCTGATCAACCCTTTCTTGTATTTCTTACCAGTCATTTCTCTGACGATGATTTACTGGCTTTATGCTATAAACAATTTAAGATAGTGTAAAAGATGGTCCTTGCTGTCAAAGAGCTTACAGTTTCACTAAAGAAACAAAATACAGGAACAGAAGCCTTTCAACGACACGGTGCAACATGCGGTCAAGAGTGAAGTGGACAGTGGAGACCAGGAGGCAGCAGACTGGGGTCCGGGTGCACCAAATCCAACTGTCAAGCGAAGAGTGGTTCTTGACATTTATAAAGGTTGTAAAATCAGAACAGACAAAGGAAAGAACATGTGACAGAGAGATCACACATGGCCCATAAAGGCTAAAATGTTTATACTGTCTGGCTCTTCACAGAAGAAGTGTGCCGTCCTCTGGGAACTGTAAATGCTGGCACAGCCAGGTGATGTGGTTGGAGTCAGTGCTGCTGACGTCTTTAGTTTTGACTTCCCCTAGGTCCCCTCCCCCTTCGGATTTTCTTGCTTTTCAGATTTTATTGCCCTTCCTATCCACTGTCCATTAATTCTTCTGCACCCGTTCTCCCTTTCCTTAGTATCCAGAATGGTTGCAGAGTCACCGGGGGTCTCTTCCTCCAGAGCAGTTTGAAAAATATCAGGAACAACATAGTGTCATGGGCAAGATATGTGAGCAGTTTGAGGCCGAGACCCCCACAGACAGCGAGGCCACTCAGAAGGCTCGTTTTGAGATGGTGCTGGATCTCATGCAGCAGGTGAGGCCTCCTCTTGCCACCTGCCCCCGGGTGCTGCTGGGTGTGTGTTCGGTGGAGCGGGTTTCTGGGAAGAAGGCCACGCTGCCAAACCCAGGTGGCGGAGGGAGCACGAGAGAGGCCACGCAGCCTGGTCCCCAGGAGAAAGGAGAGAGACAGTGGCTCAGATACTTCTTTCGGACTGCTGTTTCGTGGGATTCTCTCCTTCTCAAGTTCCTCTTACTTTCCAGCTACAGGATTTGGGCCATCCTCCAAAAGAGCTGGCTGGGGAGATGGTGAGTATATCTTCTCTTAGATTTGAACCTGAGCCCAAGTTTCTGGAATTCTGTAGTCTCGAATGATTCTACTTGAGGTGATCGCTGTGGCCACTGGGGACGCACCTTCAACAGCTGTCGCTTGAGGTAAGAGCAGTAATCTCAGTCCCTCCGTCTCTTCTCCAGCCTCCTGGCCTCAACTTTGACCTGGATGCCCTCAATCTGTCAGGCCCACCAGGTGCCAATGGCGAACAGTGTCTGATCATGTGAAACACAACACGCGTTCGGCCCTGATTCCCAGCCATGGGGAACATCTGGAGTCAGCAGAACCACTGGGAGCCGAGGCAGGAGTGTCGTCTGCAAGAGCAGTCTGCCCACTGCCCTCTGTCATCCCAGCTGAGATTGTGCCATACCAGCTGAGGCTTTTACTCTGTCTTTCTGGTAATAAGGCCTATTGTGCGGGCCGTTTCTGTGAACCCTATCCGTTGTGGTTTCTGCTGCTAGCAAAGGCCCAGCTACCTACCAGGTGAAGGAAAGCATCCCTTTGGGGGCATGCCCTTCTTCCCCCTCCCAACTAATGTTATATATGGCCACACTGATGTTCACTTTTACATCCAGGGTCTTTGTGCCTTGTCTCTACTCCCTCTCTCGGACTGGGGAGCAGAGACAGAGTCCTGGGGCTCCGTGTTTCTCTAGTTCTTTTGGGAAGAGCCTTTGGAAATGAATGGGGAGAAATTCAGCCTGGGCTGGGGCTCTCGGTCTGTCACCGTGTCCTCTTGCCTTCAGACAGACCGTTGGGAATTCCGTGGAGGGAAAGGAAGTAGGGGCTTTTGCCTCTGATCACAGTAGGGTTGAAAGAGAAGCCCTGGGATTCTCCTCTCGCCAGGTGCTGAGCCTCCAGGTCCCTGGTGTAGTTTGAGAACTCAAGTCACCAGCTTGGGTCTTTGTATGACGCTGTGTGATCTGGGTGAACCCAGCCCTTGACCTTCCTGTGCCCCCTGCCTCTCCTCCTCTTCTCTCTTTTTAAATACCTGTTTATCCCAGCCCTTCTCTGCACCCAAGCTGTGACATGGAAGGGCCATCCACTACTCTGATTGGCCTCCTCCCTGGAAAACATACATAATTACAGTGTCAGGTCTAGGAAATGAAAGACCGTTCTTCCCCAGATGTGTTCTGGCTTATTTGAGACCTCTGATTTCTCTGAATCCTGTCCCTTGATTAAGCAGGTGACTTGGGAACGGGAGTGGGGTGCAGCTCGGGTCCTTTCTCTTGACTAATAAATATTCTGATTGAGGAGTGTGGCCTGTTTTTCGTTCAGGTCTTTCTCTGATCTTCCTCGGCTTCTGTAAGCTGCAGCGTGAGGAATGTTTGCAGACCAGTTCATACCATTGCAGTGCTGGTCCTACCACCGCCCCCTTCCCCAGCTGAGGCTGCCCCTCGGTTGGCCAAGGACGCTGGATGGCCATCTTGCCTCGTTGCCTCTGGGTGTTCCAATCTGGGAAGCCCTTCAGTTGGTGTTGTATCCTAAAGTTTCACATTTTTATTATTGTTAGCAATATATTACTAACGTTTTTAAAATTATTTCTATTATCATTGTTATTTTGAGTTGATCTTGCCCTTCTCTTTGGGAACCACTGCATCTATGGACCTTGGCTGCCATGTGTTGGTGGATACTGTGGTCAGACCAGCTGGCTCTCCTGTCTCAGCACTCAGAAGATAATGCACAGGGCAGGTGACACTCAGCCTCTGAGTCCCTTTGCGCTCCGAACATGCCACTTTCCAGGGGTTAAGCTTTCTTACCCTTAAGACGATTCCACACATTCTGTGGATGGGGGATTGAGCCTCAAGCTGTTTGGGAAGGTCTAGGTACTGGACCGCATCAGAATATGAAAGCCCCAGTCTGAATCTGACTCCTCTGTTGTGTAGGAGGTGGAAAAAGCGGAGGCAGACTCGTGATGGTGGTCACAGGGCCTGAATGGCCAAAAGTCTCTACCAGCTCCGTCCAAACACCGGACGAGGATAGAGAGGAGGAGGGAAGGACAAAAAGACCCTGTCCCTGAACCATGTACCTGCTGTACTGGCAGTTCTCTTTTACCGATTTTCAGTCCTGCTGTCCTAGTCAGGGCTTACTCCAGGAATCCAGACAGATGCTCTAGTCCAATTTAGTTTTGTTCCCAAGCCATTTGTTTTCATTTTGATTGAACATGAACAAACTGACCTCCAGCTCCTCTCTGTCCCGGAAGCGCTGTTGGAGTGGTTCTGGGCTCATGGAAGACAGAGCGGTCCTTCTCAAACTGTCCGCTAAAGAGCCCGGGTTTTTGTTTTGTTTATTTCACCCAGTCCTTCGTACGCTCAGATGTGTTCCCGTTACCCGTGACAAGTGCAGTTCGCACAGCATGCCACCCACCACGCAGGCTTGGCTACACCCAAGCTGACCAGACCCCTTTCAGCAGGCTGAGTCCACTGATCATGCACCTGGACATCACAGCAATGTCAGAACGCTAAGACATTTCTAGACACTCTGAACTTCTAACTCATCATGTTGCAGACGGGTACAAAACTGTTCACAGACCAGTACAAGTCTCTGAACCACCTTGGGTAGCACTGCTCTGGGGCCCTCCCCGGTCTCCACAGCTCCGTCGGCCACACTGGTATGTTTCTGTACTTGTTCTCTCTCACGTGAGGGTTGCCTCCAGTCCACTTTTTCTTTGGCTAGGGTGTGTCGCTGTAAGGACCTCTATATTATTTTTGGAGCCTTTTCTTTTGCTTAAAAATAACCATTAAGAAGTTTAGGTTTAAGCTATATGTAGAGTTTTTATGCTGCTCTCAGACTTTAAAGGAGGTACCCCTTTGTTCCAAAATTCTGTATGTTAGAAAATAAATTTGTAGTTGTTTGGATGGTTTCATGAGTTAAGAATCGAATTCATACAGAATTTGTGGTAATGAGGATATTTTCCCGTGGCTCTGGAGACCATCCTGGCAGGGGCCCCAGGAGGTGCTTATACACTGTCAAGATGGCTGGGGAGCTTGGAAAAAACGATGGTCCACAGTAAACGAGGTTGAGATGATAGACCTTACGAGAAACGATCAAAAGGCTTAGAGGAAGTGGGCATGTGAGAATGAATGTATATTACACCGGAAAACCCACTAGCTGACCATGTTCCTTAGGAAGGTCTGGGGACATTTTTGTTTGTTTTATGAAGGAAAGGCACTAATGAATGGGTCACTGGCATCTTTGGGAAGTTTAGAAGTGGCTGTCTCTGTGGGTGGAGGCTGATGGCAGGGGATGTTTAAGAACTGGTTTCCCTTGTAGCAGTGGGGATGATAGGATCCTCGCATAGCGGAAGCCAAGTGGCAACACTTAACTCTCAGAGTCAGGGTGGGTGGGTTTCCATAGGGCAGCATGTTCAAAGTGGAGATGGCTAATGGAACGTGGGTGGTCCCAGGGACCAGATAAATGGACAGCCAAGCAAGGTATTGGTTTGTATTTAATTAAGAGATCAAGAATGATTGAGCAGAAGAATGAGATCAGTAATTTGAAAAGTCAAAATTCCGGGGCGCCTGGGTAGCTCAGTCGGTTAAGTGTCCGACTTCAGCTCAGGTCACGATCTCGCGGTCCGTGAGTTCGAGCCCCGTGTCGGGCTCTGGGCTGATGGCTCAGAGCCTGGAGCCTGCTTCCGATTCTTTGTCTCCCTCTCTCTCTGCCCCTCCCCTGTTCATGCTCTGTCTGTCTCTGTCTCAAAAAAAATAAACATTAAAAAAAAAAAATTCCTTGCCCATTTCTTAGGCCTGAGACAGTTCTTAGATTCAAACTATCAATTGAAAGATCCATTTACTTAGTCAACCATGTATTGGGGGAAGATTGCCCAGATTTTTTAAGTTGGAAAATAGGGATACTGGGCCTGAGTTGACTTTGATACCCAGGGACCCGAAGCGCCACCACAGCACTGCCCTTCCTACGCCCTGTCCTCATCGCAGTAGAGGAATATGGGGTCAGAACGGAGTGCTTGCCTGAATCTGCCTCACGGTGGGTCCAGAAACCCACTTTATGGTCATTTTTTTTTTTTTTTTTCAGTTTCCAAATGTACAATCAGAATGGACATTCTTGACAATCGGCAGAAAGCCCAAGTAGAAGCCCCTGAAACTGCATCCCCACCTCTACCAAGATAGAAAATAAAAAATACTGCGTTCTGGGGGAAATGGCAGCAATTAGTTCAACGCTTAAAAGGGTAGAGGGATACTGGAGTGTGGGTCTCCATCATTTCTTCTTTTATTTTATTTTTTTATTTTTTTTATTTAAAAAAAAATTTTTTTTTCAACGTTTATTTATTTTTGGGACAGAGAGAGACAGAGCATGAACGGGGGAGGGGCAGAGAGAGAGGGAGACACAGAATCGGAAACAGGCTCCAGGCTCTGAGCCATCAGCCCAGAGCCCGACGCGGGGCTCGAACTCACGGACCGCGAGATCGTGACCTGGCTGAAGTCGGACGCTTAACCGACTGCGCCACCCAGGCGCCCCATCATTTCTTCTTTTAATTCCACCCGTCTGGCTCTTGCAAAAACTGGATTGGCCTGAGGCGGGTTGCATGGGGCTACTGCAGACTTCGGTGGGAAGTAGTCCAAGCAGTACCGTGTTGGGTGTGTTTCCTCTACAAGAGGAAGTAACACAGCTTCTGGTATAGATAGGTACGTGGTTTTTAACGTGTACTGTCTGACCCTCTACAGAAAGCTTGCCAACCCCTCATCTAGTGAATACATTCTTCCAAGGAGTCTCAGAAACAGTTTGCATTCACAAGTGGTGGGCACCAGTATATATTCACAGTCTTGATCTGGAGCTATGTTACTTCTCCCCCATCGTCACAGTGTAGCCCATTCTGTAGGGTACCACGTTTGTATGCTTTGTGTAGCTTACGCTACTCAGGGATTAAGGACATGCTAATCAGACTTGATGAACAAGCAGTGTCAAGTATTCTGGGTTCCTTGGTGAGACACACGCACTCCGGAGAGTGGAAAATAAATCCTGCAAAGATGCACGGTCCTGCCACGTTGGTTAAGTTTTTAGGAGTCCAGTGAGCTGGAGCATTCTGGGACATTCTCTGTAAAGTAAAGGGTAAGTTATTGCATCTTGTGTATTTTACCCCAAGAAAGAAGCGCGGTGACTTAAGTAGGCCTCTTCTATTTTGGAGGCACCGTACTCTGTGCTTAGGAATGCAAGAAAGGCCTCTGCAGCAGATCCAGGCTATGATATACAAGCAGCCCCGCGGCAGGGGCCATATGACCTGGAGAATTCTGTGGTACTAGAGGTATCTGTGGTAGGAAGAGATGGTGTGTGGATTCTCGGGCTATCCTCAACAGGAGAGTTCCAGCATAGATCTCTCGGGTTCTGGAGTAAGGTTATGCCATCTGCAGTAAAGAAAGTTTCATCATTTGAAAAGCATCTCCTGGCATACGATTAGACCCTGATAGAGACTCAGTGCTTGACCACAAAATATCAAGTGACTGTGAGCAGTTGCCCATATAACCAGCTGGTTATTGTGAGACCTGCCAAGTCATAAGATTGGGTGGATACAATAGCAATTCGTCTTACAATGGGAACAGTACCTTTGGGAAGAAGCCCAAACAGACTTGGTGGGCACGAATAAGTTAACCTGAACAAGGGTCCTCAGTTCTCCAGATTATGTACATCTGTTACAGTGATAGCTTTGTCCTAGCCCATGCCTGTGGCAACATGAGAAATCCTGCAACCATTTGATTGGCCAGACGAGAAAAAAATCCAGGTCTGGTTCGTGGAGGAGTTGGTTTGATATATTTTAGGGCAAGCCAAATACGGACTATCGCTTCTCAGTGGCCCCATCTGGAGTGGTCCTAAAAGTCAGTGATGAGGGCAAATTCTCAATCAGTAGGTCTTTAGGCAGTGTAGGTGATTATCCGCTTTGGAGAGTGAGAAGTGGCCTGAGGCAAGGGTATATGTGAACCCAAGGTCAGTGGGCTGGTTGGTCAGGGGCCCAGAAGGTGCAAGATAGGAAAATGCGAGAGAAGATCTGGTGAAGAGGGTTTGGGTGGGTCTGTGAGAGTGGGACTTACTATAGCGTTCACCAGAAAAGTGTTAGCTAATAACCGAATGGACAGGACGATTTGACCAGGAACCTCACCTGGCCCAGTTCTTCCAGTGTGCCATGAGTAGAATCACCCTGATGGCAGAGATGGAGGCTGTTTATCGGCCTCTTGGCATTGGACGCCTCTCTTGCCAGAGGCTGACCTAGCTATTCTAAATGT